CTGAAAATGGAAGAACGTGAACTAGACCTAGGCGAAGGAAAGAAACCTCCAGGGTCAGATATAAGTCTTGGAAGTTTTTCTCGTTGTTTCTCTACATCAATATACTATTTTGACGCTATTAATTTGTAGCTTCTATGTCCGTCGTGCTGGCGGTCTTTTCCCTGCTCCTCTCCCACCTCATACTGATGAAGTGCGTAGAGCTTCAGAGATGTTCCGAGTTCTTGGCATATTCATGGCTAAAGTGAGTTCTTTTGATTGCCTATATCTAACCTCAAGTATTTTACCTTCTTTTGTAGGTGTTACAAGATGGAAGACTGGTTGATTTGCCTTTGGCGCGGCCATTCCTAAAGCTCATTGTATCTCCACATCTTAGTGAGGCAGAGGAACCATCTTTGGACCGCATTCTGTCTTTGGATGATTTTGAGGAAGTTCATCCGGTAAAAGGTTGGCTCATTGTAGGTCTTTTGCAATCGTCTAAACTAGAAATTGAACACAACCAGGTGGTTTCCTCAAAGAACTACGAGCACTAGCACAAAGAAAGCGTGCCATCGAGAATGAACCAATGTTGGACCGGGAAGCGAAGAGGCGAAAGATTGATGAGCTGAAATTATGCATTCATGGGACGCGCTGCCGCGTTGAGGACTTGGCTCTCAATTTCACGTACGGACATCTTCTTTCATTATAAATTTTATGCAATGGTAATGGTTATGTCTTGTAGTGTTAATCCTCCTTCTTCTGTGTTTGATTATGAAGAAATGGAGTTAGTCGAAGGAGGAGCAGACATGGACGTTACAATGGACAACGTTGAGCTCTATGTTCAAAAATGTGCTGACTTCTATTTGAATACGGGAATAGTAAATCAGGTATGTTGTCATGCTTGAAATCAGAACTGCATCATGGGTATGTTACAGATGCGCGCATTCCGTGACGGATTTGATCGAGTTTTCGGACTGCGGGCTCTTCGCTCATATAGCCCGGAGGAGGTTCAGGTACTTTGCTCATTTTATCATTCCTTTTTTATTTCAAAAAAAGGAAACAAGATCTTTTTTTAAATCTTACCTGACAATTTCGGTGTTTTTTTGCGAACATAATATCGCTTATTTTTCCTACAATAATAAACACAACAATGTAAAGGACAAAAATCGATAAATATCTGAGCATTTTCTCAATTTCAGCGATTGCTTTCCGGCGAACAATGTCCTGAGTGGACACGTGAGGATGTGCTCAACTATACCGAACCAAAACTTGGTTATACCAAAGATTCGCCTGGCTTCCTTCGCTTTGTTGACGTAATGGTTGAAC